TGTGTATAAAGCTGTGTATGCTTTGGCTCATGCTCTGCACACTACACTTGGTTGTGATGCCGAAAAGTGCAACAAGAGAACCGTGCATCCATGGGAGGTGAGTTGATTTAAACTGATGTTTTGGTTTGGTTTGATTTGGGTTTATTCTTTACATAATTCTCATTTTCTGTCCTCCCCAGCTTTTTCAGCAGCTAAAGCATGTGCGATTTTCTCTGGAGAACACCTCTGTGTACTTTGATGCAAATGGAGATCCACCCACAGGATATGATATTGTTACCTGGATTTGGAGGGGCATTGACTGGTCCCTGAGAGTAGTGGGCTCCTTTACCCCAGACCCAATTACGCTGACAATTGATGCAGATCAAATTGAGTGGTGCGGAAAAGAAGGTTCAAGAGCAGTAAGAGCAACATGGTGTTTGGGTTTGTTTTATAGTTTTAAAAAAAATTAAATATTACAAAAAGACCCACAGAAAATTAACCCTAACCCTAAAAAGGATCATTTTCATTTCTCATTTAAAAAGGTTAAACAAATATGCTTTTGATGTTGTGGTTTATGTGCATCTGTTGTATAGGATTTATTTCTTCTGTTATTCTCTGCTCTCCCTTCCAACCAAGAGCTAGATCTATTAGAGATGACCTGTTTAAATAAAAGCTAATCTATAATATGTCTTTTTCTTTGACTGTGTATAGGTGCCACTGTCCATCTGTTCACCACCCTGCCCAACTGGCCACAAGAAGTTGCTGACAGGGCAGCATAAGTGCTGCTTCGACTGCCAGGCCTGTCCTGCTGCCACATTCCTCAATAAAAGTGGTAAACAAAGAAAAAGGAAAAAGGAGCAGTAAAGCACCTGGATAAATAGAAAACAGAGAGGCGGGCGGTGGAAAAGGGTTTCCTTGATCACATATTATCTCTATGTAGCAAAATGAGACTGAAAAGTGAATCTGAGATTTTATGATCTCATAACAAAGATTATATAAAATCTATCTTTTTATTATAAAAGCCAGTAATAAATATGTGTCGTTTATCGGCATCGTCAGAGGTGCTGATTGTATGTAATGCAAATACAAATCCCCCAAAATCATAAAGATATCCAAGAAATAAAAGTTAAGTTGTTGTGCTCCAGAACTCAATATAGAGTTCAGCTATTTAAGATTTCTTCCAGTGAACAAAGTGATCCACGTTGCAACAGAGCGCCATTACATTGTTGTGTGTAAAATTGTCCAATAGGTGGTGCTGAATGCACATTCTGACGCTGGAGCCAAACGACCTGAAAAAACAAAACAAGGGCCACAATGTTGAATAATAACAAATCACATATTATATGATTTCCAGCAAATGCTGTGTGTTTGACTTTAAGTTTCAGACTTGGGCTGGTGAATCTGAGCTCAACCAACAGTGGACACAACTGCTGTCCAGCTTTTATATCCCAGGTTTTCTTCAAGCTGTGCTTTTTCTCTTCCTTAGATCCTGTAATTTGCCAGCCGTGTCTGCCAGAGCAGTGGGCGCCCCCGAGCAGTGAGCAGTGCCTGAACAGGACTGTCCTGCTGCTGGAATGGGACGCCCCTCTCTCCATTGCCCTGCTCTTCTTTTTCGCCACCTGCCTTCTCATGATCTTTGGCACTGCAATAATCCTCCTGCTCAACCTGAACACACCCGTGGCCAAGTCTGCCGGGGGCCGCACCTGCCTCCTGATGCTGGCAGCCCTGACTGCAGCCACCATAAGCTCTTTGTGCCACTTTGGCCAGCCATCGCCTCTGGCCTGCATCTTCAAGCAGTCTCTATTCATGGACAGCTTCACTGTGTGCCTGGCCTGCATCACTATGCGCGCCCTTCAGGTTGTCTGCATTTTTAAATTTGCATCCAAGCTGCCGCCAGCCTATGACAAGTGGGCAAAAAAACACGGGCCAGAGTTCACAATTTTCCTAGTGTCTGCCATCATGCTGATCATTTCCGTGCTCCGTGTGGCCCTCGACACCCCCAGGCCTTCCATGGATCTTGAATTCTACGAAGATCGCATCGTGCTCGAGTGCAGCAAGACCCTCTCGGTCGGCTCTGGTGTTGAACTTGCTTATGTGTCCATGGTCAGCGTTCTCTGCTTCACTTTCAGTTACATGGGCAAAGACCTGCCAGCCAATTACAACGAGGCCAAGTGCGTGACCTTCAGCCTCATGGTGTACATGATCTCCTGGATCAGCTTCTTCACCCTCTACCTCATCAGCAGAGATTCGTTCACCATGGCCGCACAAGTGTTTGCCACACTCTTCAGTGTCCTAGCCTTCCTCGGGGGATACTTTGTACCCAAAATTTATATTATTGTGCTGAGACCGCAAATGAACACAACTGCACATTTCCAGAATTGTATTCAAATGTATACCATGAAAAAATGAGTAGTGTGGTGATTTCATTACATTAACAGCACTTATATTCAAGGCAGCGCAAAATAATAGCTTTAAATGCATTTTATTTAAAGAATGTTTATCTTGTGAGTGTATTTGTGTGTTATTAGATTGTGCATTCTTTTGCTTAGATGTCCTATAATTTAATTTCAGTGTAATTTAATTGTCAAGTTCAAGTTTCAAGTGAGTCAATAGCAAAAAGCAGCTGGTTACAGAATAAAAGTTTGTTACAGCAAGTTGCAGAATGATACAACAACTCATTGCATGTCAAAGAAATCCCTAACTGCTTTGTCTCTCTCTCTCTCACACACACACACACACACACACACACACACACACACACACACACACACACACACACACACACACTGCTGCTGTTAGCTGTTGTTTGAGAGGATAGATGAAAAGGCCTTTTGTGGCTGGGAGGTCAGCGCTATTGACCAGTAGATGTGTGAGTAGAGTCGGAGGTTGGCTTTCCCACAGTCTCTCTGTCCACTCACAGGCTAATACCCTCGGTCAACAATCGAAGTGTGCCATGGGTGAACAAGCAGGAGTTTTATTGTCTGTACACAAAGAAAAGGCGCGAGAATAAAAATTCAGGAATTTCATTTCAACATCGCCCAACATACAAACTATCCGTTTGAATCCATGCAAAGGCACGTTTACACCTCTACCTGCAAACTGCTGTGGCCAACGTTTCACTGTGCTCTTGGCCGTGTTTGTCTTTCGTTACACTAAAATCAACAAACCATTAAAGTCACCCGAATACCAGCAGAGTCGAGGTTTCATTTGGGATGTGGCTATCCACACATTAATGATATTTTGCCATGAAGTCAAAGGGACAAAAATGTGCACAAAAAAACTATGTAGATCATTGTGGTGTGAAAACTAAGAATTTGCCTTTTCCACACTAGCAATTAAATCTATAATAACATGTTTTCTTTCAGCATCTTTTCCCCTGACACCACCAGTGCAATGATGCATCCTGTTTAATTATTCCCTGGGTGCATATCAGGAGCTTTTGCCCACGTTCCCCAGAGTAAATGCAGGCTGAGATAAGCAGCAGCTCCTGATTAGAGATGGACGGCACTCCATTCTCAGTCTGGAATGGTTTTATCTCCACTGAGCCAGCCTCTGATTGCTTCACTTCTCAGTTATTGATACATCTTCATCTGACACAAACCCCAATACGGCTTAATTAACGTGCCTTTGTCATGCTAATGACACGCTATAAAGTGAAGAGCAGCTTCAGAGCTGATAGTGTCATCCAAAATGAATCTGATCGCTTCACCTACACACCCACGTCTCCATGCATCACCAACCACGCCTCCTTTCACTACATCACAACCTGTGAGGGGAGATAACAAAGTTAGCACCTCTGAGATTTAAACAGAGAGATGTGAATGAAATGCTTGAACAACAAAACCACCAAGACTAAAAATCATCCACAGTTAACATAAAATGTTCACATAAGAACATGAGCGTCCTTTTTTTATTTTAGGGAAGAAATTATTTGATAAAATACTAAAATAAAATAGAGGTAGCAGCAAACAGTGGCTTTGATTTTTCATTTCCAAGCATTACACTGTGCTGTTAGGAATACTGAGTGTTGGAAGCATGAATTTACAGTAAAACACAAGCTAGGAAAATGCTATTGCGATCTATACTTGATTATAAGTAAGTATATGTGTACACGTGTGAGTAATTGTGAATACAATATGTAGGCCATAAATCTGGGCACTGTGGAGAATGTGTGATTGTTTTACTTAGTAGCATGGGGGACTGCTTTAGTTTCTAACATGCCAAGGTCAGCTGATTGTTTATTGTGCCTTTGCATTGCAAATAAAATACATCTTGTCGTGCGTAACTGACAAGATGCTGGCTGCAAATGCCAGCAACTAGATGCAATTTGCTGGATTTTTTAATGCGTTTTTCTGTTCACGTTGCTTAGCATAAATCAAAGAAATCCTATCACATTTCCTGATTATGAAATCTATGAAAATGTGTGTACAGCAGTGTTGTCAAAACCCATTTTAAGTTTGCTGTTTAGATATGTACAGACCCAAACATCCTTATATCTGTTGCCTTGTAGATCAAACCATTAATGACCATCCCTACATTCATTGTTGAAAAGAGGTGTTAAAATAAAAATGCACTAAAAGAGGCAAAAATAAAGTGGTATTTTTTAATATATATATAGTACCAATGTGGACTTTTTTCATGAAATATATATAAATGTAAAAGAAGTCAGCAAGCATTTTTAATGATTGTTTCTTTTTATTTTTAATTGTCGTACAAATGTTAGGAATGAGTTTTAAGAACCTTTACACAATAGCAGAACAGCAATATAAACATCTCAGTACAACATGTTAAAAATGTAAACCCATCTACACGCAAAACACACGCTTTGTAATCATACTGACACATCGAGTTTGGCATAGATACATCAAAACAGATGAGAAATATTCTCCACAGCAGCTGTCCATAAACACAGTATGGCAGACACATATAAAGTAACATCGAGTAGTCCAAAGATAAAACTCCACTGGAGTAAACAACAAAACTATCAATACTCAAAATCAAAATCAACCTCCAGCTTTAAACGCAAAGGGAAAGTACGTATTAAGAGTCACAGCGGGATCTTCAGCTACGTGACAGCCGGTGCTTTTACTTGTCCATCAATGTGATGAGACGCTAAGGAAACCCATCAGGAATGAGCAGGCTGGAAAAATATATTTCCTACATAGTGAGGGAGAGTTCAGCACCCCTCATGTCTCAGTCTCTGCCTCTACCAAGGCCTCCACACGGGGCCTCTGCTCCCGCTGTCCTGCACTGTGGTGGGCCTGAGTGTGAAGCAGACTGGGGAGGAGCTGCTGGCTGTCTGGGCTTGAAGGAGTTTCTGGTCTTGCTGCTGCTGGAGTCCCTGCAGAGGGGCGAGAGAAGCCTCTGAGCCAGCTGAAAGGAAGTGCACAGGGTCCCTCCAACACTGAGAGTAGGCCTGGTTGTAGTCGCTCTGACAGAGGCCTGTCTGCAGCTGCTGCCTCAGGAAGCTCACAGTCATCTCCAAGATGTCAGCCTTCTCTAGCTTGGAGTTGGGCTCTTGCTTGTGAAACTCCTTCTCCAGAATGACTTTCAGCTGCTCAATGCAGCTGTTGATGCGATCCCTGCGCATTTTCTCCACAATGGGTTTCCTCATCTGAGAAGGAGAAGGCAGACAAGTAAGTTCACGTTTCAAGTCAGCAATGCACAAGCCAATCTAAAATTTTCCTGTGGTACTCACTTTAATGTTATCCTTCTCAGAGATCCTGATGTGGTGAACAGAGGAGTAGTTTGTTGAGTAAGGAGCCATGTCTCTGCAGAGGTGAAGTGAGCAGTGATGTCTCTGGAGGAGCCGCTCCTCATTTTATACTGGGAGATTAGCATAACAAAGTCATGTGGCTGAGGCAGGGCTGGGGTTCCCACACTCTGACCAGTGGGACTCCCAACAACAACAATGGAGGAGATGTCAATAACTCAGAGAGCATTTATCTCTGCTGGGCATGTTTCCCAAGATAAGCAACAGGCAATTAAGAGTTAATCAGAAGTGCTATCTCCGAATTTACATCAGCTGGATTGATCAGATTTTTTTCCTGTTTTTTGAATTCTGATCAGAGGGAGTAAAATACACAAAAGAGAGAATCTCTCCAGGGGGAGGGGGTGACTGCAGTTAAGGACCAAATGAGTTACTGCAATAAAACAATATAAATGCCCCTTCAAAGAACACTTGAGCACTTTACTGCTCAGATAGCAAAGTGTGGAGAGGACAGAAAATGTTGTTTTTGGAATAATAAAGGCCTCGGGTATGACTCCAGGCAGTCCCATCAAAGTTGAGGACAGGACAATCAAAGAAGTCTTAGATGAAACTTATTCGTCTACCACCTGTTGCTTTTCCAACTCCGCCCCACTCAAGCCTTGACATTAAGGTTTCCCACGGGGATCGCGAGTGAGGGAAAGCTTCAGCAGTGTATCTCGCGCATATTCAAAGCTACAGACGACCCAGGTGTGAAAGGAGGTGAGTGGCGTAAGTTGTCTGGCCCGAGCCGGGCCGACCAACGCGTGCGCTTCAAAATGCCCAACAAGCGATTTTTTTTGCGCTTGTGTTGACGCACAGCGTGAGGCGTTTACTCAGCCTCTTGTTCCTCTTATTAAAGACAAACAGGGGCGGGAGCGCATATTAGCCATGTTTATATTTGCCCCCATATAGAAAGACAAACAAAGAGAGACCCAAAAGTGCCACCCTGCTGGAGAGAGTCACCGAGTCATGAATTTATTACGAAACTAATAAATTTAGCATATTTTGCAGATATCTTTATTACTGGTCATGACTTCTTTTGAAAAATTGTTGGCAGCCTTTAGTCAAAAGTCCTTGCCTCGCTTCCCCCGAGGGTCTGCAGACTCTGCTGTAAATGAACTGTGTCAAATTAGTGTCAAGTTAATGGCATTATGAGCGGGGCTGGCAGTGTGCCTCTGAGGGCCTCCATCATTGGCTGGCCCCAGATGTGAAGCTGGCCTTGTGGGCGCAGTGTGAGTAGTCCCATCTCCCCAGTTTCCCACCAGCCCCCAACATCAGGCTAAATGGGCTCCAAAAGCCATGCCGCTCCTCCACGCTCCGAGGAATGTTAATTGATCTTTTGTTGCAGCTCAAACAGAAACTCTGTGTCCTGGTCCATCTGGGAAAAATCAAGTCAACTGGCTTCACTGCCTGTCTGTATGGAGGTTTTGGTCTGTTCTTTCAGTTACCCATGTATAGTGCTGATAGAAGAACTAAAGGTTTCATCACAAAGGAAGAACTGCAGAGATGCAGTACTGTTAAAAGTCTTGGGCCGCCCCTTGATTTCTTTAGACTTTGCTTCCGAGGAGCCAGACCTTTCCTTTGTAATATTTCAAAGTGTCAATAGTTCTCCAGGCTCTCTGAAGGTTTTGGGACGTGCATCTTTGTAACCAATTTTGTTTTTGATTCTTGTTTGTTTGTTAAGCTAAACTATGAGTCATTCAATAATTAAAAGGCCCCTAATTCAAGTGATGAACCAGTGTTGTGTCTACACATAAAAGACACAACACTGGCACAACACATAGGCACTTTGTTACTAGGAGCCTGTTGCAAAAACATATAATATAATATAATTTAAACCTACTTCTTTATTGAAATGTATGAAAATTGCTAAAAATAACACAGCTTGAGAGTCATAAAATAGTATATTTACACGAACAAGGTGATTCCCAAAGAGGTCTTAGTAGCCAACTTGGCATATCTCTGCCCATTTTGAAGTGTGTCTCTGCAGTGTCTTTACATCTATTTACATCAGGTGTACAGTATCTGAAAGTCATGTCTTTAAGAAATAGGAGAAATTTAAGAAAAGCTTTAACACCAGATCTGATGGATGTATCTGTCCCTTCAGTTGATTCATCTACTATTCATAAGCCTCATCAGAAGTGGTCTCAGTGGAAGGTTGGTCATAAAGAGGGGAAACAGAGAGAAGGCTGAGGTATGAAAAATTACACCAGAACTGGACTGAAAGTCAGACACAACAGGTCTGGTAGAGTGATGAATTCAAAGTCGACATTTATAGTTTGAGTCATGATCAATGTGTACAGAGGAGGTAAGGAGAGGGGTAAAGCTGGGTGAGCATACAGCCATCTGTGCAGTCAGGTGGTGGTGTTTGAGAGCTTGTCAAAACTGATGAAATTATGAACACAGAAAAGTTCAGGCTGTGTTGTCACACCAAATATTGGAACTCACTAGATTATACAATTGTCTGTTTTTGTCTTATACACTATATTTCCATTTCTTCTTGCACATTTTTCAATGCCCATATTTCCCATTTTCATAGAAAAATCTAAAATAAATAAATGAGGGGAGTCTCAAGACTTTTGTACAGCAGTGAGTCCAGTCAGTGGCAGCATCCCCACCACAAGTCATGTAAAAGCAGCATCGGCACAGTAGAAAATGCTCAAAAAGTGCTACAGGTATTGAACAATGATTCACAATAAATCTGATATGGGAGAGATTAAAGCAGGTAAAAAAGTAAATCTCGGATCTCTGGAGGTAATGAGATAATTAAAATTCACTGTAATGGAGCCCTGTTTTTTTTCTCTCTCTTTCTCCTCTTACATCTGTGTGGCCCATATCAGCAGTACTACTTAAAACTGTTGTCATTACTGAAAAATCAAAAAAAAAAATCCAGTAACTTTCAATGAGCCCAGCACTTTTTAAATCTCTTTTTTTCTCTTTGTCATCATGTCAGTGCGAAGTTCTCCTCCTTTGGAAGTTGGTGTGCACTACATGGCTGCTGGGGGTCTTTGTCTACAAGTGTGTGGGAAGACGAGTCCCCCTCCCACCAGCCGCCTGAGAGCGCTGAATTCATGCCATAAAGTCTCGGCCATTGCTCAGACCTGCGGCGGCACAGAGCTGCTTCCCGTCAGCCATCTCTCTGTGAGTGTGGTATCTCCCGTTTCCCACACTCTGCGCCTATTCACTGGTCCCAAGATGGGAACAATAGAAGTGTGTCTTGTTACACATCACATTAGCTATGGTGTTTGATCTCCTGTTGAAGGGGGGGGGGGGGGGGCAGCTTCAGCCAGACCATCTGGCCTGGCAAACTAGACCCTGAGAAAGTCCCACATTCTCCACAACTTCAGCACACACAAATAATTGTGAAAGACTTTTGTGGCACTTGAGAGATAACTCAAGCACTGCACAACATACCAAGACAATCACAACAGAGAAAAGCGGCATATGTGGCCTGCTGGGGCGTCTACATACTGATTTTTGATTTTTTTTAAGCACCTGTTGATGATTACCAGGTCGGATAAGATGACATGTTAATGATACCTGTGGTAAATCTCAAATCAAAATTTAGCTAAACAAGACACTCTCCTGAATCAGTAAATTAACATTAACGATTCAAACTCTTTAGTTGCATTCTGCTCAAATTACTGTCACTTAAACTGACTTGAAAATGTAGTCATTTTGTAAGAATTATAATTTAATTTAAGCACTTGTAGAGTGCCACCATTCAGCTCCACCAGACCTGTGCAAACAGATGTATTATACACCTGGCACTATGGCAAGAAAAAAAGACAGACTTGTACATTTTAATCGGCATCACTTTAAATGGTGAAAACTTGCGTCTAGTTGGAGTTTCTGTTATATCGCCATTTTATTTTCCCCATTTCCTAAGTCTTTACAATGTTTAGAAGGTTTGTAGTGATGTAAGTGACTAATTACTGGAGCCATAGATGCATATATGGTGATCAAACCACCAAATATTTAGCACTAACCTAATGAATCTTTACAAGAACCAGAGCTCAATTCTTACACTGAACTAAAGCTGCTGTCAGTTCTAGTATGACTGAATTTAAGTTTTTAGTCCCCCACTCCACCAGCTCCCTTCTCTGTCTCTCACTCTGGTGTACAGAAATGAATCAATCAGTAATAAGTCAAGACATATTTAGCACTGTAGTTTTCTTTAAAAGAAAGCACATTGCGATTACTTATATTTGCAGAACTTCATCAGAAGTTTCTCATTTATTTATTTTTTTCAATATCAAACTCCTCAAGGAAGCAATAAATCAGATTCTTTTTTACAAAGATTGATATCAGTGCAAAAGGCCTTTATAAAAGGCATTGTTATGAAGATTTTAAAAATCCATTATGAACATTACAAGTGGACAGGTAATGGTTACAGTATCAGTATCCTTCATACACAGGCCAAATGATGGTTACAAATAGAACAAAGTATAATCGTTATAAGATTTACAGTACAGATGGATCCATGGGATCTCTATATGGCTTGTTTTTGATTCATCAACAGCAAACTGATGAAACACGTCAATCAGTGACACTCAGCATCAGGGACAAACAGTAAACACATCGTTCAGTGTCTCGGACACTTAAATAGTTTCAAACCAACGTGGTTAATATAATTCAATGATGTTTGCAAAACAAACAAAAAGTCAGGAGCAGTTTTCCCACAGGGACAATTAACGCATTCACAGAATGAGCACTCCAAATAATAAAGCGTGTATCATATATAATACACTAAATCATTTCAGTCCTTCCAAAGGAGTACCGGCACATTGTGCTGATTTCACCACAAAATAAAACACTTGACAGTATTGAATCTTCTGCTAAAGCAGAAGAAAGCAGACTTCTCTATAAGTCCTTAACTCTCTGTCCATGACGTTCACAGACGTAGTTCTCTCTCGGTTCACAGGTGATCCCGCCTCCATGTTACCAGGGCCTCCACAGAGCACAGCTGACCTGGCTTACGCCCTTGCTGGAGCTGACCTGATGGAGTGGGGAGCCAGGAGGGGAGGGGAGGTTGCAGGGACTGTGACTGGTCCCGCTGGACGCCTGCAGGCCGTGAAAGTGGCTGAGTAGCAGCCTGTGGGCTTGAGTCTGGACCTGGCAGTGGGACAGGAAGCTGACAGCCTCCTGCACGCAGTGGGAGTAACCGTCGCTAGCCACCATTGGGCTAGAGGTCAAGCCGGCCTGCTTCTGCTGCTGGTGCCAGTTTCTCAGATATGACACAGCCATCTCCAGGATGTCAGCCTTCTCCTGCTTGGAGTCAGGCTGCTGCCTGAGGAACTCGGGCCCCAGCAGGGATTTCAGCTGCTCGATGCTGGTGTTGATGCGGTCTCTGCGTAGTTTCTCTACCATTGGCTTTCTCAGCTGAAGAAAAGAAGGAGGAAAAAAAAGGTATTTTAGTCAAATTGAACATTGCTTTTAATTGAATTATTTGTACCAACACAAATCCAGTTATGAGACTTTTCTGAAAAAAGTATTTACCTTGTGAGCAGGGGTCAGGTGTTCCTTGTTTGCTTGTCCAAAAACAGAGGGAGCCATTGCTGTGGAGTCAGGGTCTCTACTCGGGTTGAAGAGCTGGTTGGATCTGAGCTGCGTTCTCCTCTCCTCTGCCACTGCCCTGTATTTATACACCCAAATCTCCATATGAATGTGTGAGTCTTAGGCTTGATGGAGTTTCTCACAGTCCCCGGGCCAATGGGAGTGCTGGGAAGGGCTTTGAGGAAAGCAGGGCTGCCACATGCTCAATGAAGTGTTTATAGCCGTGGGGACAATGAGTGTGTCTCTGGGGAGCAGGTGGAGGAATAGACTGCAAGAGAAAGCCCGGGGTGGAGTGGGCAGAGGGAGGGGGGCTGAGTGGGGGTAGATGGGAGACTGACCCGGTGCTTGTGCTGATATGGGAAAGTGGTGACCCCAGAGGGAAGCATGCCGCTGTCTCATGTCATCTTCGCCGCCACGTAATTGAAGACAAAGTGCCTCTGCCACCAGGCACACGTGGGTGTTACAGAGGGCCAAGCATTAGAGAAAGACCAACATGCAGCCACTTCCACCAGTGTGAAATGGCAGACTTTCAGAGCTGTGCAACAGGTTGAGGTTCCTCAAAGATTCAAAGAGAAAGAAAGCAACAGATTTGCAAATCAAAACTATTCTGCTGAAAAAGAAAAGAGAATATTTAGACTATGAATATTTAACCCTTTTTTCAGATAATCTGATTAAACTGTTATATGTTTATAAGGTGTTTCCTCATTCAAGGTTTAGTACAATCCTTGAGAGACAGCTGTATAATCTGACCAAATCACTCTCACAATATCCAGCCCTGATGAAGCTGAAGTATTAGTGATTAATCGCAGCTAATTTTCATTACGTTCACCAATCTCAAGCATTTTCATAGAGATTTGTGTGACATCTAAAGACTGTAGAGCTGATGCAAAGTGTACTCTCTCAGTTACAAAAAAGTACTGCCATTCAAAATTTGCCTGTTATAACTCATTAGCGACACGTTTGGTTTTCAGTTTGTCAGCTTTAATCTGATGAACGTGATTAGAGCTGTGTGTGAATTGTAAAGTGCTTCAGCTTTAAGCTTTCACGCTCCCAGCACATGCTGACACATCAGGCAACCCCCCACAAACTCATGCAGACAGCCACACTCTCATTCACTTTCCCTACCCCACACACACACTCACACAGCTGGCTGACCTGCATGCCGCTGGCCACGTCTCAGTCACACGCTCCCTTCCTGCCTGTGTGGAACGTGGGAGCCGCTGTGGTCCCAGGCTTCCCACACTTCAGTGTTTAATGACTCTGAGGCCGCCTGCACAAAGGAAGTGTGCCCCATTGCACAAAGATTGAGTGACCAACCCCCCCTTCGAGCCCCACTAACAACACATGCACGCACACACCCAGGAAAACAGGGCTGTCAACAGGGCTTCCAGGCACACCATCTGGATGGATTGTATGCCATTGTCGGCCGATCAAGCGCGGGAGATGTTTACCGTGAGAATTGGAGAGGCTGAAATAGAGACAGAAAGTTAAATAAGAAGAATAGGGAGTGTGTGTGTGGAGGGTGGGAAACTTTCTGGATAGGATGATGAACTTTTTTTAAGAATCTGTGAATAAAAAGGTGCAAAACTCTTACACTGTTTGACACGAAAAGTTTAAGAAATTGAGAAAAAAGTGAAAACCACTTCACTTTCTCAGCTTGTTGCAACAGAAAAGGGATTATTCTATATTAAAGACTAATATAACAGGTACTAACAACACTTAGATGCAGATCCAGTCTGTGATGATGCTTTTTGTTGCCCTCACATAGATCACATTTCCAAAAATGTATCTAAATATTTAGGTTGCCTATCTGGAAACTCTGCCCACCAATGGACGTCTTTCTCCTCCAGGAAGAACGTCCTCAGACAGATGTTGTCCTCCACGTTCCCACCACATATCATCCCAGTGGATACAATAACAAGGAAATCTCCCTCAACAAGGGGCAAGCAATGGGCCCCTCCCACCTGTTTGTTTGGATTGGGGCCATTGTACCCCAATGAATTCAACTAATTCATTCACATCCTATTGTCATAATGCTGCTTTGTGATTGGCCAAACACTGTGAGAACCAACATCACATTAAATCAGTGGGAAAGTTGGCATAAGTATATAAATGAGGGAGGTCTCTGTGGGTAAAATCATAACCCTGAACGTTTTCTTGTAACCCACACGGGCCTGGACTCACGGGACGCCATCCGACTGCATATTCGCCATGAGGGATCAACACACAACGTAAGCTCGAATACAAGAAACTTCATTGTAGATCATCCTAGGCTTGATCCTAGTTTTGAACAGGCATCACAGCAATGTTTCTTCCACCATCTGTGAATTTGACTCAAAAGTGATTGAAAGTTTTTCCTTTTTTTTTTTTTTTTTATGTTGAATGAATGTTACCAAAACCATTTCTACATGTGCCGTCAATATTTAAGCATGCTGGTATTTTCTCCTGGAAACAACTCAATTCTCTGAATCTACCATTAATTTGATGTTTCTCCATCTCCTTCCACAGCCTGTGTAAGATGATGATTTTGGAAAGGAAGTGCACAGACAGAGCAGTGAGGCTCCGCTCCACGTTAGAGAGCCATCTAAGCACTGGAATGAGCAGCTCTGACGTGTGGGACAAGACTGTCTCCTTTTTCACAGTGAAGAAGGCCTTCATTTTCCATAATGGCTACACCAAATCCTCCAGAGAGGCCATGAGGCTGTTCCCCTCACCTTCTGAGGATGTGTCGCCTTTGTGTTGCCAGTAAGAAGTGCACCGAAAGAGGGTTGAAATACGAAGAGGAAAACAAAATCTAGGCATTTTTATAAACTTTTTTCTCCAAATGTCTTCTTAAGCACAAATGGTGGAAAAGATGGGAGTTCTCATTAACTGTGACTACCTGCACCGTGATCCTATTGGTCATTGCACAGGCCCTAGAAATGTGCATATTATGCCTTAAATCTAAGTACTTCTTAGAACTTTAAGATCATGTTATTACAGTTTTATTAAACTGAAAGTCATATTCCTTTGTATAAAGGGTAAAAGTTAATTTTATGCCAATGCATATTTTGTAAATGTTTAAGATATTGTCAGTCATTTATAAAATTTGTTGCTGAAAGCCATAAGTGAAAAGTGCAATGTGCTTTCCTGTGCAATTTTAAGTAAAATGACATGTTTTCCCATCATGTGCTGCTTGTTTTGTTTTCTAACAAAATGGATTAAATATATACATTTCTTTATTTTGTTTGCTCCGGCACTTTCAAAATGTAAATGATTAAATTATGATTCTGTGTTGAGCCCCGAAAGGTTCGACTTCCATATCTTGCACTTTAGTGTCATAATCAATGTCACCCTCTAGTGTGCATTAATGCAACAACACTTCACATGTGATCCACAATTATTCAACCATAAATTCTCAGAGCTCTGCTTTAAAGCTGCAAACTTTTATAAAAGTGTTCTTAAATACATTTCTGGAGTTTTAACCCTCTGTGCATGAAAAGAGGAAGTAATCAGACTGGGGACTTACCATCTTACACCACTACGCACATGCCTGCATTTTTAATGAAAAGTATACTGATTGATGTAAAGTGCTGCGCAAAATGTCTCTAGCCACCCTTCATTTCTTTACATTATGCTTGAAAAACTTGGAAGTAGGTGCAGCAGTTAGTTGAAATGTGCAAATATATAAAGGGGAAAAACAGTGCAGTTGTAACAGTCTTCCTATTCTTCGTCTAAACTATTAGGGAGCATTCTTGTGATATACTTTAAGTAGTCTTCAGGAACAGCTCTCCAGGCTTCTCGAAGCATCCAGGATCCAGACCTTCAGAGAGCCTGGGGAACTATTTCTCAAGACCACCTAAAGAAGTTCTAAGAAAATGTTGCCTTTGAAGCAAAATGTGAAGAAATTAATTTTAATGAAACCGTCAAAGACTAAATCAATCCAATAGATATGAGATCCAATTTAAACTACACTTTCCACATTATTTAGAGTTCATTTGTATTCTGTGCATGTTTACAGACAGCAGTGTTATGAGCACTGTCAAACGATTAAAGGAAACAAAGGTGCAGGTTTTAATATTTTTCCCCAAATCTAGAAACCAGCCGGAACAGAAGAGGTTACCCTGAATCAGATTTGGAATTATTACGGCTTTATTAATCATAGGCTAAATTCAAAAAGCAGACATTCAGCAACAGTTAAACATCGTATAGCAGCGGGAATAGGTGAATTGACGAGAAACTGGGTGAACTCCACACCATGCATTCAACTCTTGAGTACAAGGGTTCTGTAATAACTGTAAGTTCAAAGTTTGCTCAACTGTTGAGGGTAAAAGTGAGACTTTGCTTTCCAGAAATCTGTTCTGGAAACTGACGTGTGTGTTTCCAGAAATTTTGAGGAAAACCAAAACCTAAATTAAAGAGTGCAGAGAGGCTCAAGAGGGAAAAAAAAAAAAAGTCAAAATAATTAGTCAAAAGAGAAAAAGTGTAAAGGATATAATGTAGGTCTATGTTTATTATTCATTTAGACAAGTCTGGTGTTTCATTGCAACAGATGGAAATGTTTTCATCAATCCAAAGTTTACTTCATCACCAAGGCATAGCTTTGTGGAAGAAAATAAAACACTTCATTGTTCTTTCCCCCTCTTTGCTTCCAAGGTCGATACAAGAAAAAAATAAAACCAAACTGCTTTTTTGTTTCCCTGTCCGTCACTCAAATTCCAGTTAGACTCTACATGAAGATCAAACAGCAAAAAGCCCAGAAGAAAAGGACAGGTTAGCTTGCAACCATGTGACAGTGAAACCTTCTGCCATTTTAAAAAACCCTTACCAAAAAAAAAAACTTAAAGCACAACAAAAATGGAAAGAAAAAAAACAAAACAAAGGAAAAGGAGTTAAAATCAAATGCCGCTCTTCATAGGTGGTGGGTCAAATACCCAAAACATTTTAGTTATTGTACCCCAAAGAGAGGGGGAGGAGTTTAAAGCCAAAAGATAGGATCACAACAAAACAGAATTCGTAGGCTGTTCCCATCAACAAAAAAAACTATTATTTCTTCTTTTCACATGAATCATTAAATTCAGCTGGCCTTTTTTTGATCATCTATGGCATCATAAAGAGACAGATGCCTTGATGGTGACAGATGTGAATGGTTGTGGCTGGGTGGTCGGCAGAGCCCTGCTTCATTTTTCCCTCAAGCTTCCTGAAACAAAACCAGTTGTGATCTCAACTCTAGTCTGAAAGAGTTTGAATCAAAGTGTAAATTCTGTTTTGTGTGCCCTCCCCAACCTTTGACAGCACGGTGTTTCTGTGTTAAACTTTACAGAGATGGATCTTTTCTCTTTTTCTTTGTTTTTTTTTAAACTACACATAGTTTCTGCTTAAAGATCATTTGAAGATGTCATATGGGAGTGGGAGTTAAGTAGGAAGCGTGGTGTATACACTGTGTGAATATCAGTGTGTAAAAAGTAAATTTTTGTTCAGCTGGTAGGTGTCCAGATGATAATTGCGGGGGCGTTTTGTGTTTGAGGGGTTGTGGTTTGAGGTTGGCCATTAGGGCAAAGAGTTCAACAAATCCTGCAGGAAGAGGTCCGGGTCTGGAATTTCAGAGAGGAGACCTGAAAAACAAAGTTTAATAGTAACATTCGACCAACACCACAGTTTATTATTCACACCAGAAAAGAAGTGTCGTAAATTAAAAGAAAAATGGCACAAGAGAAGACGAAAATAAACTGTGAAGCTTGTTTATACTTCTGCACTGAATAATGCAAATCCTCTTATTCACTGACGGCATTTATTTGAGATGGATTTCACTGAAATTTCACTACCAAAACATTCTTTTTTGTGGGCTTTCTCTATCTGAGATGATTTATTTTGTCTAAAAAGAAGTAGTATCAGAATAGTATCAGCCAGAAACATAGGTGCGTGTGTGCATACTGACCTACAACATCAAAGAACTCTGACAGGGATTCAGCGGGCATGAGTTCATCCTGGAAAGCCCTGAGCACACGCTCGGAGGCCTCATAGATGGGCATGTCATTGTGACGGACATATTCTGCCAGTGAGAAGGACCAGCCGCCCTCTGTGTTGCTGGTTGGTACCTTCTGTAAAAACAAAATCAAGAGCAGAAGAGGGAATTGCAGTATATTATCTATTTGTCTAATGTGAATGTTCCCATTAGATTGAAAATGTCCCTAAACACCCCCCCCCAAACAAACAACATTCTGAATTCTGTTTCTACAGGTAATGATTCCTATTTTTACAAAGCATCCCCAAAATTGAAAGAGCATAATACCATCGTTTTACAGTATCGACAGGCAAAATACTTTACCCTGAACATGTCGTAGACCAGGTCCACCAGGCCCCAGAAAAGAAGAGGTGAGCGATACACTGCATATTCCTTTGGTGTTTTATCTGTGAGCCTGAGAATAGATAAGAGAAGATGTGGATGAAGACCTTCTGAGACAAATAATGGACACAACATTCAATGGTTATTCCTTTTTCTTTTTAAATTTATAACTCTGACCTGCTTCACTGGTCAATACTCACATGTCTTAGATGTATTCAAAATAAAATTACACTAGTGTAAAAGTTTCCTGTTGGAATTATTGGCAAACAAATTAATAATTTGGCACTGAACCTGCTCCCTGCTTGAAGGATTTAATTAATATCACAGACAAAGGTGCCCTGCATTGAGTGTAAAACAAATGGAGACAGGAAAGGAAAGGTCTCATACTTGTTTGCACAGGCTGCCGAGACTTTACGGGCATGCGCAGTGCCCAGAAGTCTCCGCAGGAAGTACAGACGAGAACTTCTCCACCGTTCGGGTGGCATGATGTGCATGGCCAGGATGGTGTAATAGTGGGGCCCTTCAACTTCATATGAGCTTTCAACCCATTTCTCACATGGTTGCTCCTGGAAACTCTGCAGGTTCTTCTCCTCTCGGGACGTAGCCCTTGTACTACAGTGACAGAATTTGCAAAGTGAAATAAGGTGAGATGGGAATGAGAACTATGAGCTGTAAAATCAAACTTTGGATTTGTGTTTTATTTTAAGCCTCAACAGTCCCACACATGTATCACCTCAGCATCAATATTGAGTAAATGTCAGCAAGTGTTTTCTGTGCACATCAAAAATGTACATACGTGTTGAGGACATAGAGAACAGTGTGGATGATATAGGGGATGAGGTGGATGTTGCTCTCCCGACCTCCACCTCCTGTGTCCACGCTGAATGACTGCTCAGTAGCAAAGCGGAGGAACAGCAGTTTGGTATCGTGGATGTTGAGTTGGTATGTGGGCTCTCGCTGGCCTGTGCACTCCTGAAGATATGTGTTGTGCCTGTGCAGTAAAAGAGTTTGGTTGAAGAAATTGTGCCACATGAAGAAAATGTTCTCTCTAATTTATGCTGATTTTTTCTTTTAACCTTGCTAGGCATGTAGCAAAAGCTGATTCTGGCACATGTGGCCCCCACACAGGAAGCAGACCATTGCACTTGGTGTTAGCATTCTGGAGAGCAGCACTGTCCCATTCCTCTCGCCCACGAGCCAGCCTAAAATAAGTAAAAATAACAGGCATGTATTACAAAAAAAATGAAAAGTGGGGCTGCAGAAAGAATGTAAGGGGTACTCTAAACATCACCACAGAGTAAATGCTGGTGTTTGTAGCTACCTGACTGCTGCCAGATGGCAGTCATAGTGGACTATGTTAAAGTGCGACACAGTGCTGTAACCCTGCTGCTTGCGAGGCTTGTTTTCAAATTCCTCCAAGGCTACACGCTTTGTGAAAGTGTAAATACCCAGGACTTTGGTTGGCTAGTGAAAGAGAAACCAGAATGAAAATGAGAACTGAAAACAACAACAAATTTCAGCATGCCAAGAAAACCAGCAAATCAGACTGATAAGAGTGTCATTTTAATTATCTACAATTTGGCTACTGATACTTTAAATAGAATTCCAAAACCAGACGTCTTCAGTGTTAAATAATGTCAAACTTCCCTCAATCCTGTATGTGCTTTTATACCTGGAACTTGTAACCTTCTCTACAGATACAGCAGGTCAAGCCTGGTTCCTCTATCAGCTCTTCCATTTGCTTCAAGAGTGAAGTCTTTGTCACCACCTGCCCCTTTTCATTGGTCTGAAAAACAAACAAAGCTTACAATAAAATCCACATTTCAATTCAAGTCTGTGGTAATAAAAAAAAAAAAAAAATACCGTCATGCCAAGAGTTCCCAGAGCCTTCTGCCTCATAGCCATAGCCATACGCTTTTTCTCAGCTCTGGTTTCTCTGCGGGCTGCTTCAATCTTCAAGTTGACGTCACTGTGTTCCCTCAGAGCCTCTAGAAGGTTCTCTGCTAGAGTTCCTATGCCTTCATCACTGGATACCTGCTCCAGCTTGTGCAAGTTTGTTATCGAATCTGTGCCTATGAGCACCTAGACAAAAGAAGATGATACTCAGTTATATTAGGGAGACAGGTTCATGTGTTTACAAAAAGAACTGTCTGAGTTGACTCCAGTTTAGTCTAATATTCAAAGCATTCTGTACCTGTGTGGGGGGATGCTGGGTAGCCAAACCACGGAGAAGTCTGAGAATAAAGGGTAGAGCAGGTCTAGAGAGGAATTTCTTCCAAACATCCGCATCCAGACTGATGGGAGATTTCAGAAAAACAAAAAAGAGGTTTAAAAACAAAAAATCTTGCATTTGTACTTGTATACAAAATATTTACCTACAAGAGACCTACTTTTTGGCATTTGGGATATGCTTCTTCATGTAGTCCAGTGCACTCTGTGTGATTCCTATTTGCAGAATAAGATCTTTCAGTTGATGGCCGTTGCTGTTATTTTTGATTCCAGCAGCGATTTTACAGAAGCAGTCCAAAAACACTTTGTCATCAGCACTATGCTCCTCGTCGTACCTTAAAGAAACACAACATAAACACAAAAATAAGAGTCAATTTCACTAAATTAACTATAAAAGTGCCCATAGGAGCATGGTTCTCCTACAAAGATTAGCCCGATTTATCCATTAAAATGTAAAATAATAGCCCCTTTAAAGTCTTCATGTGCTAATTAGTAAGTAAAAGCTGAGTGCTCACTTGTCAAAGTTGCAACACGGTTTGAAGCGTTCCACCAGAATCCTCATCTTCTCTAGTTCGCCAAAAGACAGGTATGGAATAATGCGCAGAAGACCCTGGAGCACGCTGGGGTTGGAGCGCACAAACAGGGTGTTGATCTGGTCTAACAACATGACAAGCTGATCCTTGTCTCCTGTAAGGAGAAGGTTACCCTGCAAAGGACAAGACAGTTTCTAATTAAAAAAACTAAACAAAACACAAAAACGGAATTAAAAGGTCTTTTTGAGGGTATGATTTTATGATTGTAGCAGAAGATAAAATTAGCTTCAGATTGTTACCTTGTCCTCTGAAATCTCAGCATTGGCCTCATCCAGAATGATCTCCATGATGCTCAGGACTTGCTCTGCTATAGAGGCTCCACCACTATCCTTACTCTCTTGTTCTGCCACTAAGGCCTGAAGGAAAAATAACATA